TCCTAGCGGCTTCGTGTTTAGCCGGTATCATTTCACTGTCAAGATCTGTGATAAAAGATGATTCTTCTAGGGAATCGGAGATTGCTTGCGAAAGAAGGTATTTTTGTAATTCAACTCCCCCTTCCTGAGCTAGTTTAGTCAGAAGTGCTTCCTCTTCTATGTCAGAATCCGGAGTAGCGCCTGGAGGTGGCGGTGTGACCATACGGTCATCAGGATTCAATGGACGTGGTGGTGGAACCGGTGGCGGAACTTGATCAGGAACTATATTGCGAGCAGGCACAAGTCCACGTCTAGCGTGTCCAAAGCGCTCAGCACGTTCTTCACGATCAGCTTGTCGGCTCCAAGTGCCAGGCGTGGGTATCATGCCAGGGCGCAAGGGTGCACGACGTTCTCTAGTGGGGTTCACACGTTTCCATGCTTCAACGTCTTCGGGACGGTAGCTGAATGGATTAGGATCGGGAGCAGGTGGTGAAGGGTCTCTTGCTTGAGGTGGAGGGGTGGGTGATCGAGATGGTACCGGAGGATTGGGATTTGGAGCATCATCATCACCAGGCAGATCTGGATCTGGGCCAGCTGGTGGACTGTGCGGTCCATTTTCCGGTTCAGTAAACGGTTGTGGTTGATCTTCCGGGAATTCCGGATCAAATGGAATGTCTGCACCATTACCATTTGAAGGTTGCGAAGGTTTCACAGGCGTGGGGGCAACAGGTATAGCGGGTTTTACTCCAGAATCAGATTCGGATTTGCACCGTGGAAACCATTTCTCATAGAAAGTTGCTTGTGCAGCATGCACTATGGAATTATCGCTACGCATGAATAGATATCCTTTGCTTCCTTGGTCATATCCAATGAAAGTCATCGCTTCAGAGTGTGGGGATTGTTTATTTTTTCGCTTGTCAATAGGAATAAAGACATAAGCGCCACAGCCAAAGGTTCTGAAGTACGAGACATCAGGTTTCTTTTTGAGAAAACCTTCAATTGGTGTCTTCCAGTTCAATCGACGGATCGGTGTGCGGTTATACACATGTACTCCTGTGGAATATGAAAATTGCCACCAGGACTCCGGGCAGCATGCATGGTGTCGCATGGCTTCGGATTTTTCCATGAGTGTACGGTTGATACGTTCCGCTCTACCATTCTGTTGATGAACATAAGGTTCGGACATTTGAATATCAATACCCTCAGACTTGAGAAAGGAAGTAAATTCCTTTGAGATAAGTTCTCCCCCTCGATCAATGCGGAAACGCACAAGTTTGCGTCCAGTTTGTTTTTCAGCCCAAGATTTGAAATCCTTGAAGGCTTGAAACGCTTCTGATTTTTGTCGCAGCATGATCGAAGTAGCATGAGAAGAGCAGTCATCCAGCAGAGTGATCACAAATTTAAATTTATGATAAGAGACGGTTGGAATTTCAACCAAATCTGCGTGAATTAAATCCATAGGGTTGGATGCTCGTTTCTCGGACTTAGGATATGCTTTGGAGGCAGCCTTTCCAAGCGCGCAACCTTTGCATGGAGATTCTTTATCTGGTATCGACAACTTAGGTAGTCCATTGACATTTCCAGGAGCATTGCGTAATACGACATCACCGGGATGTGCAAAACGGTTATGCCAGGTGTTAAAATCATTAGGAGATGATATCATGCCTATCTCAGATTTCACTACATCGGCCTTTAGCCAGTGAATATTATCCCTGTCGTTATTGGGATATAAGGTCATGATTGTTGAGTCATCATCCGTCTTACGAATAACTGATTTTTCAACGTTAATAGTTGTGTAACAACCCTGTCGATTTAATAAACCAACAGATAGAAGTCGGTGTGTGCAATGCGGTTGGTAAAACACTGGGTGTAACTTAGTCGTGAGGATTTTTCCTTCGCCGTTGTCATGCCTTATGTAGACTGTTCCGGCACCTTCAATAAAGGTTGACGTACGTTCGTCAGCAGTCTGGACAGGTATCGGATGTGTGAATTTTTTATAAGACACAAAGTCTTGCTGATAAGGGGTAAAATATCCAGATGCACCGGAATCAAGCAGCCATGTGTTAAATATCTGACTAAGGTTCTTATTCGCACCATGCACATCATTAGAAACCATTTTATTTAATTTACCCTCGCTAGGAGGTACAGAGTTCATGAAGCGTGGAGAATGTGATACATAAGGTCCATTTGGACCGTTCGATATTCCAGCCATATTATTGAACATCTGTTGTAATGAGTGCAATTGGTCAGTGAATTTTTCCTTAAAACTATTAAGGGAAGCTTGCCAGAAAATAAGGCGCTCGTCTCCAGAGCCATACATTTCCTCGTCAATGTCCATTTCGAGTTTGGTCTGAGGCCAAAGGTGATCAGAGAGATCGACCTCTACTTCCTCGATCTTCATCCTGTCAAGGACGGAGTCGTGGGAGGCTTCACGGAGGAAGCTGTCGTTAATGCGCGAGGCAAGGCAGGTGGCGAAATTAGAGACATTGGAAGTCTCCACTTCAGCCGATTCATGAGCCTTTTCTTTGCCTTTTCCTCCTTTCTTTCCGCGGCGTGTCTTTTTGTCTTTGTCGGAAGAAGAGGACGAGTCGTTGGAAGGTTTGCTTGCCGGGTAAGGCGCTCCCTTCTTGGTGTCCTTCTTCTTCTTCTGATCATTCCAAGAAGACTTGGAATCAGATTGACGTTTGACGCCGGAGATGCGGGCCGTGAGAGAGGTAGCGTTGGATTGGCGGCGAAGGTACTCGTCCTGAATGATCGGCATGATGTTGGACGGAGTAAGGAGATTAGCATCTCGAGAAAGGATTGTCATTGCAAGACTATCCCATTGTGTAGGTAAGGCGGCCAAGAGAATCATAGCTTTTACCGGTTCAGGAAGTATGAGACCAGAGCCATCAAGGCGGGAGAAGGTGGAGTTTAGAGATGCTAGGGCAAGGGTAGGGTCGTTTCTTCCGTCGATTTGGAAGTTAATGGCCTCTTTGAAGATGCCAAAAGTGCCGGCAGAGCCGGGTTTGCCATAGATCTTTTTGATTTCGTCCCAAGTTTCACCAGAGTCAGACTTTAGGACAGTAGCCCTGATGTCATCAGGAAGTCGGAGGGCAATTAAGCCCATGGCTTGGTCGTCAATGCTGTCCCAGTCATCAATCTCTTTCTGCCGTTCGGCAGTGGTGGTCTCAATATCTTCACCAGACTTGTAAGTGCCAGCGGCGACTTCAGCGGCGCTTGCTTTGCGGAATGTTTGTTTGGGGCGAAGGATCCGTCCACATACAACAGACCAACAACGAGAAGCTCTAAGGAGCGCTGTCATTGAACTGGACCAGGAGGGGTAGTTAGCCCCATTGAGGAGAGGAACACTAGAGAGGTTTGAGAGAGACATGTTTTGATCAGGTTCTAGAAAAAAGTAGAGCAACAGTCAGTGACGTGCTTCCACAAGTTATGAACTCAGATCACAACAACAGAGTCAGAAACCCGTGACAAGTGTTTTCAGTGTTGATCGCATATAATTATCCATCCATTTTCCATCCACTGATCCGATCATTCCAATTCGGACTCAGTTACTTAAGTTGATCGGAACACAAATAGGGTAACTGAATGCCAAGAATATGCGTTCAGTCAACGTTCAGATGTGCTTTGCAGCACAATCGAACAGTATCCCTTCAGCATGTGAAGAACTTAAGGCAAGCAGCAGGTAGGTAATGTGTATGTACAATTATTCTACGAAGGCCAAGAACCCAATGATCGTTCGCAGTTTGCCAGCGGATGCACATGAACGCTTTTATGGCTATTATAGCGGTGACCCCAAGTCTACCTGGCAGGGAATAAAACCCTAAAGGGAATGCCATCACAGCAAAGCCCTTAAACAGTTCGTTCGATCATTGGGTGCCTATGTAAATACATGTGTGTGTCAGTGTGCAAAGTCATGTATATTTTTGAACAATGCAGGAATGGAGAGAAATGCAATCCATGAATGTTACCATGTACCATGACCAGCTATGCACAACACGCGAACTTCGTACACTCCAGGAATGAGCGTTGGACGTTCATTGAACACTGTCTAACCAAGTGCAGTAAGCACAATGGAGGGCACAACATGTGTTGAAGCGAATCCGGGGCCCATAACCTGTAGAAACAGCGGTCAGTCAACACAAGGTCGACAGCATACTCACCTTAGAGTGTAAGGATGTTTACAGGAGTTTGTAAGAGTGCTTGTTGAGAGCAGAACAAGTGTCCAGACGAATAGTAGGATTCTTGGTTATTGTTACAGGAAAATATCTACAGTATTTATACTACAGAATATAATAAACCCTATAACAATGTATGAGTCTACTTGAGTCGTACTGCTAAACATAGTGCATATACATGTGCATAATGTACCCTAGAAGATGGAGTCCGTATGGTAATTCTATAGGTAATGTTCATAGGTACTGCAAGGCAGCGTACAAGCTATGTATCATAAGACTAATAGCGAATGGCATAATTGACTACATCTATACGAACCTGCGTAGAGGCTGCGTCTAGTGTTTGAGGGTGAGTTTCAACATAGCATATATCGACAGTTCATCGATCGTATAGCAAGTGCGTCTAGTCGACTCACATTACTGATTAGATACGACTCATAAGCGGTAATCTAGTTTCAACATATTTTACTACTACTAAGTTGGTCACGCTGCAGAAATGCTCGGACTAACGTCGTCATGTATCAAAAGTTCTGCAACCGGTTCAACCTCAGGCTTGATACCGGAGGGTAGCGGGAATATGGTACTATTTATCAGGGAATACTAAGGAAGGTATAGCCCAAGCCCCCAAAGATGCTGTAAAATGGTGCTTCCAAGAATTGGAGGATACTACGTTGATACTACAACAAGTGCTTTAGTCAAGGCTTTAGTTGGGCTACTTATCCCATAAATTCTCATCTAACCCTAATGCTTAATCCCGATCCATGAAGGATATCTTGCGCTCTTTGAGTTAATGAATAGAGCAGAGCGTCAAAAATAGTGACAGTGAACATTGAAGTCTTTGACTATCGACGCCAGCAGGATTCGTTCCTGCGCTCTCAAAGAGGAATAAATTGAGAGGTAGTCAAATGGGGCATTCCAATCTGTCGTTTTAACCACTTGGCTACAGCGCCTCACAATTTATATAATGATATGTTTGCAAAGAGAATTATCTACGTTCACTCCCTTCATATGAGCTGAGGTAGTAACTCCAATAATAAGCTCCGAGTCTTTAATTACCTGGAAGGCACCTGATGGTACTACTTGGAGTGCGGAGTTACAATAATACTGGTGTACAACTGGTGTATATGCTGAAGCGATGGTCAAGGATTAAAACATCAACCTCGGGGAATGAAGAAGATGTTTCAGCCTGCAGCACCGAATACAAGAAGTACTCGCCACAAATTAGAAGAAAACAAAACACAGCATTAGTAGTGGTGAGGTACACCTCCCCGGGTACGAAGGACTCTAACTTCAAGAAAAGGAGCTGCGGCACTGCTGTCGGAAGCTTGACATTGACATGTTGTTTCCAAACGTTAATCAAGACTATGGTCATTACGAGTAACGCGGACACTGCGCAGATGAGGCGGTAGCATCAACGCATCGGCACTAAGTTAGATTATCAAGTAACAGAGCACAGCGTTTATTGATTCCTTCAAGGTTGTTATTTGCGAGCGACACGGACTCTGCGCAGCTCATGTTGTCGCAGTCCAGGTTCTGTCACAGACAGAAACCACTGGATGTTCGACTCCTTGACACTGGATGTTCGACTCCTTGACAACTGGAAGGTATTTAAGACACCCTCAAAACTCGATGATCTTTACCTCAAAACAACCCTCCAACATCTTATAATCGGTTTCCGGAAAACCTCCACACTCGAAAATATGGATTTGATCCTCTCAGACCATCATCCTTGGACCTCCATCTACTCCACCACGTCTGGAGAAAAGAGCGGGACTCCGATCTTCATGACAGACACCGGGAAGGGTAACAAAAAACATACCATAATACGGGGATCCTTGGGTGCCCCAGGAGGAATGAACGAAATGGGAATTCCCATTGCGGAAATAGATTTTAGAGGACTTTTCTCTTCGGATGTTCTTACCTTACGAGGTGATGAGCTGAGAGTGGTTAATCGTGGCTTCATGTGGAGGTTAGCTATGCGTGGTTTTAATGACTGCGATGAACGAAAATAATTGATGAATTATTATAATGCTCTTAACAGGTCCTTGGAGTTCGAAGCCTCAGACGGTCGCCAAGTACAAGTGGAAACTGGAAGGGAGAAGAAATTTCCATGCAAGTACATTTATATAAGCTCAGCGGTGAAGAATCAAGATAGCTTACATTGAAATGACTCTATAGCTCATGTTCGAAGACCGCCTGATTGCGCTTTTTTCTGGTGGTTCAAATAGTATCTTCTCTACCAAGGAACCTGCTACGTTTTTGATTTATCCTGAAGGGCTTCCGGTGGTGGAGGATATAATCACAACGCTGGTTTATGTTACGAGACGAAGGAGGATGGCTCAAGATTCTGCAGGGAATATTGCTGGGTGACGTCAAGGGGAATGATGTCTACGATTATATTTATTTTATTTTATGAGTGTTCAAATATCGGGACGACCAGAGGTCCAATGCAGAAAGGGACCGAACTTCTAATGAGCGTAACGGATAGCCGGTTGTTCTCTGCCAAGGCAGATTCTCCATATCCCTTGTAGTACAACATTGACAAAAATCCCTCAGAGCAATATATCGCTAGCTTGTGTGAATTTTTCTCATGTCAGATTCACGTAAAATGATAAAAGTATCGTTCCAAGTTGTGGAGCGGACATCATAGAACAGCGGTGGACCGCCCCAAATCCCGTCGTTTGCTCTGCAGTGTCTCTCGTCATCGTTGTTTGGCAGTCGCAAGGCCGACGCTGGCTAGACTTCAATAGAGCCTGCGTCCAGGCTCGGAAGTACCCTCTGTGCGCTAGAGTTGTTTTGGACAAGAATGCATCAGAAGCTTTTATTTAATTGGATGTACATAAGTGCCTTCAAACTTTTATTGAAAGGCTCGGGGTTCCGGTCCTTGCTTCCTTGGTTGCTTCACACGAGCTTACAACGAGCTTGCTACCAGCTGGATTCCCATGTTCTTCAGCTTTCGTCACGCCATACTTAAGACCTTTATCCTTAATCTTTAAGCTTCAAACTTCAAGCTAGTTTCAAGACTCGGCCGGAGATATTGCCCAGTCGCCTGGGACCTCGGGTACCATCTCGGTCAATTTCGGTTTATCTTTCTGATATTATCTAATCGTTGTATTATCAGATAAAAACTCGAGGCTTGCCCAAAACGTTCATCTTCTGTAGCCAATCTGCAGTAGACTTTGCTCTGCCCGCTCTTTTTTTAACGACCTTGGCGCCATAATGGCCTACTATTCCAATGGCCATGCACTCGAGTCCAATCCCAGCCTACGCAACCACGAAACAGAGCCTTTACTGCGTACTGATGAGTCTGCTATTTCCGACGAAGGACAGTACGTGCAGTCAGCTGGCGTCACACGAATGGAAGCGATCCATAGGTCTGCTTCTGGATCATCTGGTCGCGCTACACTATGGGCAATCAGTATCTCCGTCATCGTCTGTGCTTGGGCGCATTCGCTAGATGCGTCGACTACTTACAACTACCACGCACTCGCAACATCCACCTTTGCCAAACATAGCAGTGGCCTGGCATCACTAAGTATAGCTACTGGAATCATCTCTTCCGTTTGCCAGCCTTTCATCGCCAAGATATCCGATATAACCTCTCGGCCCTATACATACATCTTGGTCCTCGCGTTTTACGTCGTCGGATATGTAATCGTCGCAACCTCGCGTACGATCTCCGCCTATGTTATCGGTTCGGTCTTCGTAAGCATCGGAAGCAGCGGTCTCTCTCTTCTGAACAGTATCATCGTTGCAGACTTGACTACTCTAGAGTGGAGAGGCTTTGTCAGCTCCCTTCTGTCTGCGCCCTACCTCGTCAATACCTGGTTTGCAGGCAAGATAGTCAGTGCGCTTAGTACTGGCGAGAAATGGAGATGGGGCTATGGGATGTTCGCTATTATCATGCCTGTTGCGCTGAGCCCTGCCATCTTCACACTCATCTATCTTGATCGCAAAGCTCAACGCGAGGGTATCATAAACGTTGCTTCTAGTGGCGTTGCTCGACGTCGTGCATTGGCACGAGCCGAGGGTCACCAGGTAGAGGACATACCGTGGGTTATTCGGGTCAAGCAACTTCTAGTTGAGATTGATGCATTTGGATTAATGCTACTCGGCTTCGGGTGGACTTTGCTTCTCCTTCCATTTTCGCTCAAGACATACGCGAAAGGAGGGTGGCATAATCCTTCCTTGATTGTCATGATGGTCGCTGGAACTGCTTTCCTTATCGCATACGTGCTCTACGAAGTATATGTTTCGCCAGTTCCGAGCGCGCCGAAACGGATTCTCAAGAACAAGACTTTTATCATGACAGTCATCATCGACTTAGTGTATCTGAGTAAGTTTAGAGCAACTTTGTCTTCGCTATCGTAACTCACTATTCTTACAGTGGCTGGAAAGCTCCGCGATCTTTATTTCCCCTCCTACATCTTCATCGTCAAAGATTGGTCGGTAGCGAATTGGACATACTTCAACAACACCCTCATTTTATCGCTCTGCTTCTTCGGTATCTGCGCAGGCCTCTTCCAACGCTGGACCCACCGATACAAAACATCCCAAATCAGCGGTCTCTGCGTAAAAATCATCGGCATGGGCATCCTCCTGAAAGGTGGCCGCGCCACTTCTGACACCGCTACTCTCATCATCGCACAAATCATCGTCGGAGGTGGAGGCGCATTCAGCGTCGTCGGTTCCCGCGTTGCTTCGCAAGCCTCCGTCCCCCACCAAGACGTCGCTCTCGTCATCGCCCTCCTCTCCCTCTGGAGCACAATCGGCAGCTCCGTCGGAGCCGCCTTCGCCGCCCTCATCTGGTCTGCCAAAATGCCAATGTACCTCCGCGAGTATCTCCCCGCAAGCACGACCGACGAGGAGATCGCTGTATTCTTCGGGAATATCAAAACCATTCGCGCGTACGCGTTTGATAGTCCGATTCGACAAGGCGCGATTCAGGCGTATCAGAGGACGCTGTGGTATTTGATCGTGCCGGCGTTGGTTTTGTCGTTTATTCCTCTCACGGCGGCGTGCTTCCAAACGAACTATTTCCTTGGGACGCAACAGAATGCTGTTATGAATGTTGCTCCTGATGGCTCGAGAATTGATACGGAGGTGGACGAGGAAGAGACACTGGCCAAGCCAAAAACGTTCATCGAGAGACTGCGGGTTTGGGCTGGAAGATAGCGGATTGTACAGACATTGTTACTATACCTAGATATTCACGTAGACTTATGCAGGACAATGACCTCCATCATGATGTTTCCATTGGACAAGGATAGAGTAAGTAAAAACAACCAAAGACATTAAATGCGACTGTAAATTTGGGAAAGCAGGTGAGTATACTTCGTTAGTGGTAAGAGATTCGTAAAAGATAGTTGATGCTGTCGAGTAGGTACTGGTCTCATGATATAATCCCTCTGAAAGCCCCAAATCTCACATGAAAAGGATGATGATAATATGTACAGTTGAATATCGAGTCTAGAGAAGTCGCAAAACAAATTCAAATCGCAGAAAATGGCTCCAGAGAGATAGTTTTCGTATCTGACAAGTCAACAGAAAGGTTGCTGATGTCTCCCAAGGCCGGTGTAGGAGGGCCGGCAAAGGTAAATTCGTTTGTAGTGGGAGTAGTTGACGAGGGAGCGGTCGTTATTGGTGATGTAGGGCAAGTCCTGGTGGAATCCGAGTCCGAGTCAGCGTCGTCGGTGATGGACGATGTTTCGGACGAAGGGACTTGTGAGTCTTCGCCACTAAATTGTGAAGGTGGAGGGGAGCCTGATCTGAGCGGGACAACCTTTGACACGTCGACTTCGTAGGGGTCAATACCATCGTCCTGCTCTTCCTCTTCCTCTGTCTTGGCTTCTAGGTCAGCCGAACGTTGTTCATTAGGCGGAGATTCGTTCTCCTGAGCTGCTACAGGCGAGCGCGGAGCTGATTGCGTCGTCTCCGCTTCTGCCTGCGT